TGGTCTGTTACGAATACTATCGGGGTGGACTGTTTTCCCTGGGACACCCTGTATACATAACAACTCAACGACCTTTAATTTTCGACTACAGTTCTAGGCGTTCAGGAGGTCTTCGAATTCTGGTAGAACGTCTCAAATTAGTTGAATTGGTACTTAGGTTTTCTGTTGGTACCGAATAGGTATGGTCTGGATTTCTTTTGGAACATCTGTTTCTGATGAATTTGGATGCATGGATTCTTCTTGAATTTCTCCAGATGAATCATGCAGAGTATCGTTTGATGTTGAAGGTGAAAAAATTGGTATTTTTTTTGAAGTTGAAGGTTCTTGAGTTATAGGCTTCTGCACTTGACTATCTTGAATTCCTTGAGTAAATCGTGGTTGAAAAATATTAGGAGCAAATGTAACTGTTTTCTTCTTGTTTTCTTGTTTCTCTTGTAGTGGTATTGTATTTTGTGTATTGTCATTATGAGTTTGTGGTTGATGTAACTGAACTTCAGGTTTTTCTACTTGACAAGGTCTAAGTTGATCGAAATGTCGTTTTATTATGTAGCCATTATGGTAACCATCATCTAATTCAATCAAATAATGCAGTTTTCCTAAACGTTCAACTATGGTGCCAAATTTCCATAATTTAGATCCTGAATAATTTCTTGATTGTGTTCGAGAACCATTAAGGTGAAATTTCCCAAATTTTGATTGTAATGCATTATTTTTTTGACACGTGGAAGGTCTAATTAAATCCAACTTTGTCCTTAGATTAGGTACAACCAAATAATAATTCTGAGGGTGTTTTCCATTCAACAATGATGTGGTTTTGTACTTAAGAGAAATGCGTGCAATTTTTCATATAATGTGCCACTTTCATTGATCATACATTTTAATTTTGATTTGAAAGTTTGGCAGAATCTTTCTGCTTGGCCATGCCAGCCTGCATGGCTGGATGTCCTGGTATAATTAACTTTGTTTAATTCCATTTCTTTCATAAAATTCTTTAAAATTGATACATTTAAATATACTAACGTTGTCGCTTACAAGGATTTCCAATAATCCACAACAACTAAAAATTTCTTACAGAAAATTAATAGTGCAAAATGTAGTTGGGGCTTTAGAACTCATTTTAATTTCTAGCCATTTGGATTTTGCATTAACAACAATAAAAAAAAAATGATTCAAAAACGGTCCTGGCATAGTCTATGTGGACTCGTTGCCAATTTTTTGTTGGCTCTTCCCAGTAATGAATCGATGCTTTGCAAGGGTTTTTCTTTACTTTACAACAAGTTGTACAACTTCTAACTAAATCTTCAATGTCTTTAACAATTCCTTCTCAATAACAGTAATTTCTTGCTAGCGATTTCATTTTTACCATGCCAATATGAGTGCTATATGTAATTCCTTCAGCATTAAATCCTGAAGATTCTTTGGAATTATTACTCTCCGTCCTCTAAAAAGTATTCCATCTTGTAAAGATATTTCTGGATCTCGTAATTTTCCATTTACTATCTCATTTTCAAGTTTGGATCGATCTTCATCAACTTGTGTTTCTATAGCTATTGATTTTGAATTTAATAAGGGTGTTTTAATTTATTTCAATGTAATAATTTTTTGATTGTGTTCATCGTCGATAATATTCAACTGACTCATCTATCTTCAATGGGTTTCTGCATAATCTGCATTTATGTGTTGGGAAGATTTTCTATATTCTATGGAGTAATCAAAACCTGACAAAAAATGAGCACACCTTATCATCCTAGTCGCTGATAAAATTGGTAATTGTTTTGAAGGATTAAAAATTGTTATTGATGGTTTATTATAAACTATAAGTATAAATTTTCTCCCAAAAATATAGTGATAAAGTTTTCTAAAATACCAATAAATTGCTGTGGCTTCGCGATCCAATTCTGTTCTGCCCTAGTTAGTCATCTCGAAATAAAAGCTACTGGTCTTTCTGATCCATCAGACAATCTGTGGGACAAAACTCCAGAAATTCCGTAAGGGCTGGCATCTGTAGCCAGTGGCGTAGCCAAACCAAACGAGGCCGTCGGCGACATCCGAATTGCGAGGCCCTTTTTATGTAGGGTGGCAGTGGCGGATCCACGAGGGAGGAAGGGGGGGTAATGGGGGAAATTACCCCCCCACCCCAGAGAAGTCCAAGAAAATTTTAATTATTAAAAAAACTCACAAATTATTTGTTTGGAGGCTTAAAATACGTTTTGAGCGTGGCACCCGAAAAAATTTCTGCTTCCGGTTGCAACTACGGTGGGCATCGCCTACTGGGTTCTACTTTGGGTGTGAACCCCTTCAGGTTGTTGGGAATCGGGAGTTGACCGATGCCACGAATGTTGAGTATGTACCTGGAGTTTTCCGGCGCGCTCCAATCTCGTACTTCGATAATTAAAACTCGGTATTGTATGAAAATGTTTCATTTATTAAAATTCTCGTTGAGGGGGGACACTTAGTTAAGATTGTTGAGAGGCAACCCGACTGTTCAGCGTGAAGCTTGAAATCTGAATACCTTGTCTTCAACTATCCTCCACCAAGGAAGGCAAGTTTGGACCTCCCTAAAGAAGGGTATTTTATAATTTCCTAAAATTAACTTATCCTAACAACATATTTTATTTAGGTGCTAAAATGTATTACGAAACGTTTGTATAATCATAAACCTAAAATTAGCCTAGGGGTTGTAATTCTCGCAATCTGTATTATAAAAAAGGCCTGGGAAGGTACTATGTCTTTGGCGGCAAGAGTACTTCCCATGGGCTGTATTTGACTCAGTTTTTATACATATTTACAGCAATTGGGGTTTCTGCAATAGAAGTACCGACTTTTGAGAAATTGGTGTGAACAGGACATTGGTTATATAATAATTCTAGCCGGCATCCGGCATCGTTTTTAAACCCTAGCATAAAGTATTGTTATAATAAAACTTGGGACTCAATTACATACAGATGGTGGAACTTGTAGAAGAGAAAATGTAGCGAACATTAGGATTATTGATAATATAAGTAATAATAAATTCACTAGTTCACAACAAGGTATAGACCACGAGCAGCCACTGGTTGAGAAGCTCTACCCCCTCCCCAGAATGGTAGGTGCCATAGATCCGCCACTGCAGGGTGGCCATATCTCTTGTGAAAAAGCTGCATATAACGTCAGGGACGGGTGTAAGGTAGTCGCCGAAGGCGTGAATTTTTTGAGGCCTATCAACGGTATTCGATAACAATATTTAGTCAAAAATATCAATATTTTTCCGCTAACAAATCCTTCCAAGGACCAAACAAGGACCGACAATTTTTGGTAGAAATCAGGCAATTTTTTAAGTAGGTAACCTAAATAATTTCCGAATCTCTGTATGTTAGCAGGTTTGCTGAACGAAATCAAATGCTAAACAAACTTTCAAATTACTGTAGAATGTACAATACAGCGAAATACTGCACGAATTCTATGATATCCAAAGAAGTTTGATATAGGATTAAGTTTATTCTACGTTTCATTTTGGGAAATTGAAAAGTGCCAATTTTCAGGTTCGGTAACCTATTTTTTGCGAGGCCCCTAAGGACGCGAGGCCGTCGGCGGGCGCGGACATCGCCGACGCCTAGCTACGCCACTGTCTGTAGCAAGTAAATCTTGTAATTCTGGAGTAAATGGCATCAATACTCTATCACTGGTAATTTCTGTTTTTGCTCGAATAAATTCTGACTCGCATTGGTTTGTCCAATTAAATTTAACATTTTTTCGAAGTAGGTTGTTAAGTGGTAATATACTTGAGGCATAAGAAAAAAAAATTTCATAGTAGTATCTAACCATACCTAAAAACTGTTGTACTTCTTCAAGGTTTTTTAGGTCGAGGTATATCAAGTATAGCCTCAACTTTTTCGTTTGATTTTTGAAGTCCGTTTACAGAAATCACGTGTCCAAGATATTTTATTTCTTGTTCAAAAAATTTACATTTTTCGCGATTTAAATGTAAGTTATATTTTCTTAGGCTTTTTAAAACTTTCAAAAGACGAATTTTACATTGTTCCATGGTCGATCCTTGTATTAAAATGTCTTCAAAATAGGCTACTGTACCTTCTAAGTCATTTGTAATTTATTGATCGATAATTTTATGAAACTCGTTTGGTGAGGTCTTTATTCCAAAATTTAATCCTTTAGCTTTGTATGTTCCTCTATGTGTCGATAAGGCCTGTATTTTTGCACTCTCCTCATCAACTGTAACGTGTGTAGATATGCTTTGTATACATCTAAGGTGCAAAATTATTCACCATTACCCATTTTATTGCAAATGTCTTCTATTTTTTGGTATTGGATATCTATTATTCTGGAGCTGAGGATTAACTGTCACTTTGTAACCAGCACATATCCTCAATTTCCAAATACTTTTTGGTACAATGACTAAAGGTGTCTCCCATTCAGAATAATCCATTTTTTCGATTAAGGTATGGTGGGGTAAGTGTGTGGTAAAATTTAAAAGTTTCTATATACGTCCTGATTTTGAAGGAACTACTTGGGATGCTAAGTATTCATATTTTGCCATAATACATTTGGGTATATCATCCGCAAGTACAATACATTTACATCTATTCACTTTCCTATTTTTTTTCATACAAGCATGTGCATACTAGACACAAAAGTCCAAATTTTTTTATTATATTTTTTTTTAATTGTTATAACAAGCTTTTCCAGTTACAAACTTTTTAATACAAAAGAAATGTCTTCCAAAAAAAACTAAAAAAATAAATAATGTCTCTCACAACAAAAATAAGCAAAATAACCACTAAATGGCACTTATTGAATATTATACATAGTTATCAAATGAAATTCTAAATCCATGCAAACCTCTTTTGGTAACTTCTGGTTTTGGAAGCACCATAACAATATCTCGAATTTCTACAAAAGAATTCCTCAGGATATGCCCAAGTAAAAGCAGTTGGAATGGTTCGGTTAAGCGATAGCACTTTTCTTGTAAACTTAACTTCTATTTCGTCATCTTCTTTCTTCACTTAGATTACTTGACCAATATAATGTTTAACATTTTTTTTTCCTGCGCAAGCAATAAGCACCCAATCGTTAATATTTGCATCATTTTTTTCTTTGTTTAATTCCGGCTCCTCTCTTAATTCTTCTTCAATATCATCATCACTATCATCGTAAATGACTGCTTCATATTCTGTTGGTGATTCAGGCTCAACAACTTCGGAAACTTTTTTTTTTCGAGGATTTATTATCCGCTCTTTTTCGCAAGCGCTTAAGAACTTCTGGACCAGTGATTATTTCGGCACCACCAGCAATTTTTCTTTTTGATTTTTGTATATTTGTATCTTTGTTGTGCTGTTTCACCATATCTAATAGTAGCTCTTCAAATTATCTGGGTTATTTATTCCTGAAGGTCCCGGAAAAACATTATTTTCATCGTTCATTTGTTCTTGATCTGTTTGATTATCCTGATCATTGGAAGTTCCGGGTAAATTACTTTCAGGATCATTTATGTCTTTTTTTAAAGTTTTTTCATGTGATTTCCATCGCTTCAACGCTAGCGGATCATATTGATCTTCGGAGACAACTTTGGAATCGAAAGGAAATAAGCCACCTTTTTTTAAAACCGCTGGTTATTATTTCAGGATTGGTTTCTGACACATATTTTCCCTATTAACCTACTAAAGTGTTTTTTTTTGGAATTCGCGCACCGCAATATTTAAAAAAAAAAATCTTGACATGTTCATGAACAATTGTCCATATCTTCATTGAAATTTGAGCAAACTAAAACATATCGTATATCATTGAAAAGAGCACTAAATTTTCTATGATTCTATGCTAAATTGAATTTGGTAGCTCAAATACTTTTTGATCAATTGAGTCTCAAAGTTGAATTTTACTACAATCACTGATCAATAAATCTCATGTATTCCCAAGAATTACAACTATATAGTTACTTATGATTGGTAAATATTTTACGAGGTGATTTCCATTTTTTTGGGGATTCCTATATCATTCTCAATTGATTACCTGATTTCCTCTAAGCAATCGTTTGATTCTCAAAACAATATCCAATTGTTAAGCTTCTTAAGATATTGTGCAAAATGTGGCAACGATCAGCCACATTTTCTCCCGTACCATATGGCATTATCGAATTTCGAATCCGACATTTTGTCTATGGGCCACAATGTCATCTAATAGTCAAACATTCAAACCCAAATATTATAATGTTTTCCGGCAGTTAACAAAATCAACTAATCGGAGTTTCCTCCCCTACTCAATTTAGAAAATGAAAAAAGTCCTGAAAAATTGGGACTGAAAAACCAGGTACACACGATGAAGGTGACCACACATAAAAACCCTCGCCCCTACGGACTCGTAATTTAAAAAGACCCCGGCCCTCTGGGCTCGTAACTTAAGTAGACCCCGGCCCTTCGGGCTCGTAAATTAAAAAGACCCCGACCCTATAGGCCTGCGAAGTGTTGCTGTCAAACTTACGATTTTTTTCATTAAAATTACGTCTTTTGAAGCTCTATTTTTGCTTAATTGTTTTATTCAATTTGCATTATTTTCAACGGCATTAGTGTGCACTGAGTGTATTCGTGTCTTTTTTTTACTAGTTTGTATAAAAAAGAGATAGAAATACATTTTTTCTGAACTGGTTTTAGCAAAGGATTTGTTAAAATTCACAAAATTATTAGGTTTTGGAAGAAAAATTTAAAACGTAGCAACCCCAGTCGAAAAATGTAGTAACCCTAACGCAATTTACCGTTTCAAAGTAGATAGACCCTGTAGTTTTTGACAGTTGATTTAAAATGGCTGGGTTGTTTCCAAGACCTACTTGGTTTGATAAATTTTTTGCTTACAGTTATCTGTATTACCGACATCGATTAAAACCTGGGCTGGGATCACGACAAGTAGAATTCCACTAGAATTCTACTTTCATGACGTCAAGTTACCTAGCAACAGTGATCATCGCCTGTAGTATACGCGATAAGTAGGTCGCGGGTGACGTCATGAAAATAGAATTCTACTTGTCATGATGCCAGTCCAAGATTGCTTCAAGGTTCACTTAGTTTTTGATAAGTAGTAATCTTATCGCTTGTCATAAATAATATTTGACATTTTGCCCAACAGTGTTGCCGATGTTTATATAATTACTGTTATGGAAAATTTGAAATTTGCAAGGCCTACTTGGGCTTTTTTTTGTATAAATTCGAGCCTCAATGATTGACACAATATTTTTTATATGTTGTAGTTGGCAACACTGTTTGACAAGTGATAAAGTAGGCATTGCAAAATTTCAAAATTTAAATATGGCGCCCTGTAATACCGACATTGCAATACATGCATGTTTCCAAAGCCTACTTGGTTTGATATAAGCCGGTAAGGCGAGAATTTTCCTGAAAAATTAACTTTCAAGATTGCTGGTGATTTTTTTTTTTAATGGTGATTTTTCATTCCAATTTCTGGTGAATTTAATTTTTTTTTTAATCAAATCTGACAATGACATGACACTTTATAAAAAAAAATAATAATAACAGGTTTTTAAATAACAATCCTAAATTTAACAACAGGTTAATAATAATATTATATACATAACAACGGTTTCGACTTTCGACTCGTAGACTATTTCGGACTGATCTGGACTGATTCAATTAGGTAACATTAATTTTGTAAATAATTTTTACCAATGCCAATTTTAATTATTTTCAATTTATTGCTACTAAATCAGAACTTCCTTTTAATATATGGGCGGGAGCAAATAAGCCACCCATATACCCAGACTCGATCCCTCTTGATTTATTATGGGGTTGTCCTGAAAATAAAGGTTTTCTAATCACAACCAAGTAACCCTGAAGAATATAGAATCGAATTATCCAATTGTCATCTAATAGAATAAAAATTGCTGCAAACAAGGATTCTTTATGAGTTTCGTGAATTTCAGGGCCTTTGGTTTCAAGAAGTCATTGAGATTGGAACTTAGACTTGAATGAAGTTGGAAAACTAGCAGAGTGCTTGGTACACTTAAGACGGGTAAGCATTTCTTTTCGACAACTATCTTATCAAGAAACATGGACTTTTTTCATAAGTGAATCTGTTAATTACCTTATAAGATCAATATTTCAAACACAAAATGAGAATGTTCATTAATCTCAGTTGCATACCTACACATCTTTCCAAGAAACGGAAGCCTGAAAATCCCACCGAGACGTTTCCGCGTGATTAATGGAAGGCAAATTATCATTAACGTAGGCTCCCGTTGTACTTTAGCCACCTGCGTTTGTCGCTATTAAATTTACCAGACTTCTGGTCGACAATAAATCACTTCATTGGCCTTTTCGAACGGAAAAAGTAGATTCAATGGTCTTGAAGAGCAACAAATAGTCTCTTGTCATTTTTCATTATACTACCTCTATAGAGTTTTTAAATTTTTGTTGGGTTTCTCTAACTTAAACCGCAGAAATGTCGTATTGTGTTGCAAACTTTTTAATCCGACTACGCTAAAATAAATAAAACTCATTCTAAAAGAAACTCTTTTATGAGCTCTTTACGTTCCTTGTTTCTTTATTCTCCATTGTACAAAGCTTTAAAGAAGCTTTTGAATAACTCTGTTTTTGAATTTTTAAAGGACAGCACTGTCGACACAGGACTCGAATTCCTAAAATATCAAATTCGAGAATGTTTGGTATTCCAACATCATCTTTTTAAATGGCTGAAATGTAACTTGATGGAATTTGCTGGAGTTGTGTCGATAATGAAAACCCTGGCTATTTTAAGCTGATTAAAATTTATCCAAAAATTTCCCACAATTGTGTATAGTAATCAAATAGTTGCTGCATACTTCAAAAGTAGAATGACAATAATAATTATTATTAAAGGTAATTTGGGATAATGAAACCGAATTACTATCATAAATACAGGACACATAAACAAAATGTTGCAAAGAATTCACAGACCATATTACAGGGCACTCTAATTTCATCTCGCATTATGAAAAGCATAAAGTGGAAGTTCCGGAAGGGTGCGAGAAAGCTTAATTTATGCCCTGGAAACTTCCTGGTAACCACAACCGCATTTCAACTATATTTAAGTTATGTACCCTTTTAACGATATCTGGCAATTCTAATGTGTTGTTTTAATGGCAGAGGGCAACTGACTTATAGGTTTGAGAAGGGTTGGTGTTCGACTTGTTTTGAGAGTCAGCCAATAAGAAAAAAAATTTCGGCATGCTTAATCTCTATTAATCAATGTAGAAACATCAAACAAGTACTTCTGTTTAGAATTTTGTTAATAATCAGTTTCCATTGAAACTTTTGTATAATAAAACAAGGAACCTACCTACTGAAACCATTGAAATACGAAAATCATTATACTTTTGAGATAAATAATAATTTCTATATCAAATATGAATATAGTAGCTCACGTTTACAAACACTGGAAAGTTTCGTAATTAAAACAAAAGTTAAGTTTTTCATTTGCATTAATAAACTTTTCATCTTTTGTACGATCCTTCAGAAGGTTTGCGTTGCAGCGCCAACTTCCGACTTCCATTACATAGGCGAACGAGAGAAAATGCCAAAACACGGGAGAATAATACGAACTTTCTCATCCCTTTTGGCTCTCGTTGCGAAATGTCATACTAATTAACGTCACGGGGATTCTTCACGCGAATTTAACAGCCGGAATTGCTTCGAGGTATGTATAATTATGGAAAGTGCATAATTGAAATGAAAAGGTTGAGCAAGAAACCCTAATTCAATTATATAGTATGTAAGATTGCGGATCCAGAACAACGTATAGGGGAAAAACAGCTTTTGTCATCCCAGTTTTGCAACATTCATCAGATACACAGAGAAGATGGCTTTTGGTCTTCTTACTTTACATTTTAGAGGCTCATGATTCGTTTTCGTGCTGGTCCAAGTAAGTGAAAGTTGAAATGGAAAATACATCAGGGTTACTAAATCTTGCACCAGATGAAATATAAGATGTGATCTTGGATTCGAAATGGTCAGGAGATTTACAAGGCTAAAAATGTTCACAACAACTGGCCCCATGCATCACTAATATCAGATAAACGAAGACAAAATCACCAGCCAAAATAGGGTTGAGTTTACACAAAACCTATACAGTTTGTGAGGCTTTCGCGGCACAGGTTTTTATATAAAGGGTTTTCATTCGGGCCATTTCATTTCAAATATCATATTAAAAGTATTTTTTATTTTCCCATTTTTTCTCCAGGGTGGCGGTGCTCATATGGACGAACCGCCACTGTAAGGCA